AGCTGAGGTTACAGCCGGACAGACAGCCGAGGAGGACGGGCCGCTCCCCCCACGGCCGAGGCGCGTCGGGACCGTCGGCGCCCGCGTCCTGTTCCCCGACGATCACGACAATATCGGCGTCCTGGTCCATCGTCGAAGTTCCAAGATGAAGCGCTCGAATGTGGTTGCCGCCCCAGGGGGGCAAATCGATCGGAGGGGCTTGGATGTTGCCCGCAAGCGGAACCTGGACATTGACTTCGCTGCTAGGTGCGCGGCAAGTGTGGGGGCGTGAAGAAGGAGTTGCGCTGCGCATCTTTCTGGGCAGCCTGGCGGGGATTCCTGGCGGCAAGACCGCGATCCCACTTCGCAAGAATTGCGGCTTCCTCCTCTTGGGACATCCCGAGGTGAAGGGGTTGCAGCATCGTTTTCGGGGCGAGGTGGTGTATCAGGATGTTCATGTCCTGGGATCCCCTGCCGGAGGCACTTGCCATTCCTGGATCAACGCGGGCGACCTCGTCAAGCTACCAGACCTCCTACCAGCACGCATGCAGCCACTGCTCTACATCGCGACGGCGGTGAGGGATAATATCCTGCAGATGAAGCAAGTGATGGGGAAGCAAGCGGAGGCGATGAATGACGAGCCAAGCGAGCTCGCAAAGTGCGGGTGCTGGCCTACTGGCGACGTGATGTACGACCTGGCATCGAAGAGCCGTGTTCAGCTGGACGCGATGGACCCGAGCCCCGACGCGATTTTTTTCACGATTCTTTTTCGGAGATGATGGCCGTGCAGCGCCGATGCCCGAGAGAGCCTACTTGTCATGCCTGGCTGAGCTGTTGACGCAAATGGTCATTCGGCATCGCCTTGGGCCTGATCGAGTCGTGCAATGCGTACGAGTACGAGATCGTGCAGAAATACTTGAAGGCAGCAGACGAGCGAGCCTACGCGTACTTCCAGGTGTGCGTGGACACCGGGATCCAGGACCTTGCCGACTCTCGCCCGGTGACAGAGTTCATTTGGGTGCCATTCAGTGATTTTCTTGGCTGGGCCCCATCTGCGCTGGCCATCACCCCTGGCGTGAGTTTCCACGGGCTTCCGAAGATCGGCGGGCACCTATGGCACATTCCTCGGGGGGGAAAGAAGTTCGTCGTTGACTGCTGGGGGGAGCCAGCGAAAGGAGGCGAGAGAGAAGGCTCCCGAATGCATTATGGACCAGATTAGGATTCAGGGCGGTAGCGACGAGGAAGACGAACTGGCGCGTCTGGCGGAGGACCTCGGCGAGTTGTCAAACGCTGTGGGGATTCTTTTAAAAAAGGATTCATCGAGAACCCTCCACTAGCGGGAGGGGCCATCCCAGAAGCCACGAGGGCCGCGGTGACTATCGACCACTACACCTCTACTCCAGGACTGGAGGGGTCTCCGGCAAGAAAGGGCGAGATACTCCCCGGACCCGACGAAAAGTGCACCTGCGCTCGCTGGAGGAACGCCTACATATGGCCCCGGATGAACGAGGTTGCTCGCAACCAGGTGACGAGCCGCAATTGGCAGGCGCCCGCTCAGGCCGACGCGACAAGAGACCACCTACTCGACGCTCTTTTTCACTGCGACGGTCTTGGCCGCCTGTTTTCGGGAGGCTCACCTTGGGAGATTCAAGTGGCCAAAGGATCCCGCCTTACTCGTCGGCATCTCGCAGGGCTAGTCGATGGCCCTCATGCGAAAGGTCCAAGTGCGCATCCAACTGGACTCCGGTGGGCCATGGATATGTCGACGACATACGCCAGGGAGACGCAGCGCGACGAGGAGCTCGGCGAGAAGGAGGCCAATGTCGAGGCCGCCTACCACGGCGCCAACTTGACAGCACTGGTTTTTAATCTGGAGCAAGAAGTGTCTGTTCGAGTTGAAGCCAGGATCTTCGAGCGGCAAAGGCGTATTTGGCATTTGCTGCGAAGAAGCATTTTGCCGCGTTTCCTGCGCTCGCTACACGGTTCATGCGTTGTCCGACGTGGGCCCTGAGATGAAATTGTGTTCTTGCAGTTTCCAGCTGCAGGTGGGCCTTAATTGTCGCGCAGGCTATCCCAGGATGCATGTCCACAAGCAGTGGTGCCAGACCGAAGGCGGCGTTTACGTCGACGCGCTCTGGATCCACGCTGCGACGATGGGAGATCTGGGGTCAGGCGCAGGCGAAGCAGCAAGTCTTTGGATGGCATAAGCTCTGGAATCACGCGGTCAGGATGTCCCCTGCGGCACCGGCCATCCCCGCGGCGTTCCCGAGTGTCCCCGCGTTTTCAGACGAGAAGGCCGAGGACTCCGCCTGCCGACTCGAGGTCAGGCTGATTCCCAAGCGCGAGGCATGAGTTCCTCAGTGGGCCAAGGAGCTCAGCGCAGCAAATCGTTGCCTGGAGTGAACTGGCCAACGGTGCGACCATCGTTGGGTCGAGCCGCGCAGTTTTCCATGGATCAAATGAGGCAGGATCCCGACGCAGCGAACTATGGAGATCTCATCATGGACGTTGTGTCGGACAATCCCTTCAAGGATCTCTCGTAGAGATGTTCTCGAGGCCCGCGTGTTCGCGCAGCCGTGCTGGCTGTGCGTCACAGACGCATTGGGACTACATGGATGGCTACGGTATCTACCATGCGTGGAATTTCTTTTTCTGAGGCGAGGCGGCGTTTCGGCTGCAAGAACGGTAGGGCCTGTGGTTGTCAGGCCCATGTCAGCCTCTCCTCCGTCTGCGCCTCTCTCTGAACTCCCTTGTGCGCCGCCATATCGATTCAAAAGGGGCCGTGACTCATGCCGGCGCGCAGGTGACGGGCGCGCCTTGGCCCCAGTAGAAGGAAAACGGAACGTGCTTTCTCGCAGCACGGGTCTCTCCAGTGTGCCTCGTGTCTTTCTGTATTCTATGCAGTTACTCCCGTACATTCCACAAAAGACTTCACTCCAGCCTTTCGAGCCTCTTCCTCACTCCAGACCAAGAAACCTCAACCCAACCCGACGGCCCTGGACTACCCCGAATTCTGGGTTGCTTCCATCGTGTTGCCTCAGTGTTCTGCAGCGCCCCCCCACCAGAAATCAACGAACCCGACGGTGACTACGGGTTGCTTTGGGGTGGGTTGGTACAGTCAAAACGCTTAAAAAAGGACGGTTCTAGGCTCAGGGGAAGCTCGGGATGTAGGCCGCCCCTTACATCTAAGTCGGGGAACCCATTTGTGGCCGAGGTTCGCCGTGGCCAGAAAAAGCCCTTTTTGATTTTTTATTTAGCTTTCAGTCTGGTGGTACTTCGAATGCAGGTTGTCGGCTTCCATGTCGTTCCCGCCGCCGTTCCCTCTCCTCCCCCCCCGCCCCTCTCCGCTGCGCGCCACGGCCCAGTCGCTCCTGCCCCTTTGTGAGGGACGGACGGGTGCGGAAGGAGGGGGAGGGAGGAGGGAGGAGAGGCGGGAGAGGGAGAGGAGGGATCAGGAACGGAGGGGGGAGGAGGCAGGAGGGATGATGATGATGATGATGATGATGATGATGATGATGCTGATGCTCATGCTCATGCTCATGCTGATGCTGATGCTGATGCTGATGGTGGGGGTGATGATGATGCCGATGATGATGATGATGATGATGATGATGATGATGATGATGATGATGATGATGATGATGATGATGATGATGATGATGATGATGATGAGGATGATGATGATGATGAGGAGGATGATGATGAGGAGGAGGATGAGGAGGAGGAGGCGGAGGAGAAGGAGAAGGAGGAATAACACTAATGATGTTGATACTGGTACTAATATCCGTAAGGGCTTCGCCCCCTGCCGCCGGCCCCCTCTCTCGGAGAATGGGCCATGGAAGAGCTAAGTCATGAGGCCTTGGCGCTGTTGTGAAGCAGTATCGAAACTTCATGCGAAGCCGATTCGCAATCAGCAAAACCAACTGATCACAAGAGGGGTTACCACACCTGGCGATTGGTAAGACGTGTATGGTTTACGGGCTTGGTTACCACACCTTGCGATTAAAGGGCCGAGGGAGTTCTCGCAGTTTGGGTTTCCACGCCTTGCGATGGATGTGCGTGAAGGGTGGCACCGAATTTCAGAAATGTGCCAAATCCCTTGTGTTTTTGGACCCTGACCCCGCGGATCTGCGTAAGGGGTGGCGCCGAATGTCAGAAAGGTGGCAAATCCCCGTGTTTTTGGACCCTGACGCCGCGGATCTGCGTGAGGGGTGGCACCGAATTTCAGAAATGTGGCAAATCCCCTGTGTTTTTGGACCCTGACCCCGCGGATCTGCGTGAGGGGTGGCACCGAATTTCAGAAATGTGGCAAATCCCCTGTGTTTTTGGACCCTGACCCCGCGGATCTGCGTGAGGGGTGGCACCGAATTTCAGAAATGTGGCAAATCCCATGTGTTTTTGGACCCTGACCCCGCGGATCTGCGTGAGGGGTGGCACCGAATTTCAGAAATGTGGCAAATCCCATGTGTTTTTGGACCCTGACCCCGCGGATCTGCGTGAGGGGTGGCACCGAATTTCAGAAATGTGGCAAATCCCTGTGTTTTTGGACCCTGACCCCGCGGATCTGCGTGAGGGGTGTCGATTTCGAGCCCCCCCAGCAATTCAGACAACGCGCCCAGGAGACGCTAAAAATCCCGTTTGGGCCTCCCCCCCCCTCGCGCGGTCAATCAACTAGTTACAGTAACCAGCAAGAAGCAGAACTGTAACACTGGAAACTACAAACTACAACTGGTACAGGAAACTGCGAATCACGCGCCTCGCAGCCTGGTGGCCCCACAAGGGGGCCGGCGGATTACGAAAACGAGAAAGGACAATCATAATATTAGTAATAAGAACAGGATGAGAAGGAGGAGGAGGAAAAGGAGGAGGAGGAGGAAGAGGAAGAGGAGGAGGAGGGAAAAAGGAAGAAAAGGAGTAGGAAGAGGAGGAAGCGGAGGAGGAGGAGGAGCAGGAACAGGAGGAGGGCAGAATGAGGGGAGAGGGGGGGATGTACTGCCCGGTGCAAGCTGGGAGTCGTTCAGGAATACATTGGGGAGTACTACCGCAGGATCATGAAGATGCTCGAGGTGCACGCGCCTGCCCCGCGGGTAGCTGTCCCCAGACCTCAGGCCGAACTCGAACAAAAGCGTGCCCAACGTTTTTGCCTGTTTTTTCTCTTCGTTTCGAGGCCTTTTTCCGGGTCCCAAGGCAGTCAACAGTTTGCTCAGGATGCAGATTGGGGCGATCGACGTGGGTATGCACACAATGGGCACAACGTCCAGCAACGAGTCTGTATCATTATGTGCAGAGTTCGCTGTCGGTGTCGCCGAGGCCGTTGTTCGTTTGAGACAGGAGGCCGCCTGTCCAGCAGCGGCCGCGGCGGGTTGTGTACAACGTCTGCTGCGAGGCAGCGTGCCAACATGTTCCGTGACCACTTCGGGCGTCCAAATCTAAGTCTCGCAGATACGATCCGAGTCTGTAACCAGATGGGGTCGCTGGGTCGCGCCGCGTCGCCGATGCCTCGCCCATGCGGCTCGACGCGGAGCCCGGTCTTCGCCCAAGCGCGGAGGTGGCGACCTTTGATTCTTGGGTGCCGCTTGCCGCGGGGACCTGCCCTCCTGCGTGGCCTCAGCGCGAGATGGCGACCTTTGATTCCTGGGTGCCGCTCGCCACGGTAACCCGCCCTCCCCGTGGCCCCAGCGCGGGGATGGCGACCTTTGGCTCCTCCTTGATTCCTGATTCCTGGGCGTCGCACGCCGCAATGACCCACCTCCTTGAAATGCCCATGACACAGCCGGCGATTCTTAATGCTTGGCCCGTTGTCAAAATATGCACCGGTGACCTTCATACCCCCCAACTACCCTCGTTGCGCATATATAAAGATGTCTGCATGTTTGCATGCTTCAGTATTTGTATATCATGATATATGCTTATACGTGTATATATACATATAAATACATAGAGCTAGATGCATATACATATATACACATATATGTCGGCGGTGCGCCGTGGCACGACCCCCCCCCCCCAGCACTACTGGGGGGTTTCGTGCACTACCGGGGGGTTTCGTGCAGCCCGCACCGGGTGCCGCCAGCGGCTTAGAACACCCCCCCCTTGCCGCTTTACCGGGGGGTTTCGTGCAGGCCGCACTGCGTCTACCTGGGCTCCCCCCCCCCCCTGTGGGAGTGGGGGGGTGGGAGTGGGGGGTGGGTTGGGGGGGGGGCAGGGGGGCGGTTGGGAAGGGTGGCTCCCTGTCGAAGTGTGGCGTGTGCTCGCCTTGTGTTCTCTATTCGCGTCTGCTCGCCTTTGTTCCGCCGCAGCCTCTCGTATTGTGGCTCGTGGTCACAATACGAGAGGCTGCGGCGCAAATCCCGAGAGCCGCTGTGGGGGGTCGACGGCACGGCCGCGTAGAGAAGAATAGTGCCGCCGTGTTCCGGCACGGCCCTAGGATGCAATGCCGCCGCCGTGTTCCGGCCCGTCCTGGTAAGATTCGCGCGTCGGGGCTGGGTTTCGCGCGTGCTGGGGGCGCGCCGCTTACGGAGGGGTTGCGTCCTTACCGGGGGGTTTCGTGCAGCCTACCAGAGGAGGTCGTGTTTACCGGGGGGGTTCGTGCAGGCTCGCACCGGGAATGGCGCCAGCTCGAAACCCCCCAGGAGAGATTACCGGGGGGGGGGTTTCGCTCCGCACCGGGCACCGCCGACATATATACACATCTAGTTTGTCTGACCATGTCTGTACTCATTGCTTCCTCGGTTCGGTCTATGATCGGGTTGGGGTGGCTACGGCGCGCGGTCGTTTGTGAGTTTCGAGGTATCGGGGTCTGTCAGAAGGCCTCTTGGGGCCTCTCGGGAGCCTTTGGGGGCTTCTTTTGGGCCTCCGGGGTGCCTTGGGGCCTTTGTGCGGCTGCGGGCTCCAAATCTGAATTCAAGCGTCCCCTGTTGGACCCCTTCCGAGGGCCACCTGAGGGCCCTTTTCGGCCGTCTGAAACGCTTCTTGGGTCGTCTTGGGGCCCTATGGGGGCGTCTCGGGGCCCTCTTGAGGGTCTCTTGGGTCGTCCTGGGATAGTCTTAGGGGCCTCTTGGGCCGTCTTGCATGCCGTGAAGGCCGAAAAGCCGCAGATGCGATACATGTATGTTTTCCAGAGGGACTGGGACGATTTGTGCTTCTTGGCCTCTCAGAGCCCTCTCAGCCCGTCTTGGGGCCCTTTTGGGGCACTCTGTTGCCGTCTTGGACCCCTCCGGCGGGCCCGATCTCCAGGCACGTCCGTTTTCTATGTATATAGGTACCCATTGCATTAGTACAGCTGGAAGGACAGAGAGAGTGAGAGAGAGAGAGAGACAGACAGAAACGCAGAGAGAGAGAGAGAGAGAGAGAGCGAGGGGAAACAATAGCTCCCTGGAGCTCAGGCCGCGGGCTAGGCGGGCCGCGTTGGCGTGGCGGCGGCGCTGGGCGGGTATCTCGCGCTCTCCCTCCCCCTCTCCCCCCCTTCCGCATCCTCCTGCCGCGTGTGATTTGTGGGATTCATGCGTAGGTGATTCTAGCGAGAGGGAGTGAGAGGGGGAAACAGAGAAAAGAGAGAGAGAGAGAGAGAAAGAGAGAGAGGGAGAGAGCGAGAGAGAGAGAGAGACATGCTATATATATATATATATATATATATAGAGAGATATATATATATATAGAACATGAGAGAAAGAGGAGGAGATAATGATATAGTGGGAGAGAAAGGGAGAGAGAGAGAGAGAGAGAGAGCGAGAGAGCGAGAAACATGTATATATATATATAGAGAGAGAGAGAGAGAGAGAGAGAGAGAGAACACGCAAGCCGCGCGAGGTGGGCGCCTACGACGGCGACGAGGAGGAACCGCCAACGGGCAGCACTGCTCGAGGGGTGGGTGGGAACTCCCATCCCGAAGGGAGACTTCCCGCCTTCTCGTCCGCCGCCGCCTCCCGCTCTCGGAGTGGCGGCGCAGCCGCGAGGCGAGGGCAAGGGGGATGGGGGGGTGGGGCGGCGGGGGTGAACGGTGGTGAGGATGCAAGAGAGGGGCGGAGGATGGGAAGGGAGGGGGAAGGGGAGAGGAAGGGGATAGGAAAGAAGGGGAGAGGGTAGGAAGGGGATAGGGAAGGGGATAGGAAGGAGCCTGGACGAGAGGGGGAGGGGAGGGGAGAGGGGGGGCTCTGGGGGCAAGGACCCTGACAGCCTCGCGTCGCGAGCCAGTCACGAGGGGAGTTTTTTTTGCAATTTTTGGGCTGACGCAGATGTTTACCAGCCTGGAACATATCCCTATCCCTATGCTGGGCATATCCTCATCACGATGCCAATCTTAGGGATTCCCTTATTTTCTGATGGCCTATCCATAAGACTGTCCTCGCTTTGAGCTCGCCCATCTTAGGGATAGGGATACGTTCGAGGCTGGTTACAGGTGTGATCGCCAAATCAAGGTGGGGCATTGCATTTGAGCCTGGCTGTCGCTGCAGGCATGTTGCGGGCGGGGAGCCTGCGTCCGCGCAGGCAATTTCATGTTCAGCATGGCATACCACGGGAAGACAATAAGGCCGGCCCTATGTTCAGGAGGAGACACAAAACACAGAGACACAAGGAATCGACGATTGCCAAGAAGATACGAGAAATCATGGGAATTGGGGGGGGGAAGACAAATACCCAGACAATATGGGAAACTATGGGGAATCCTGTTATTTCTGTCTATTTATTTGTGTGTCCTTGGGCCCCTTCATATGTGTGCGGAATGCCAGGCAACAAGTCATGGCATACCCGTGTGTGGGTGCCAGTGGCCTTTATGTCCCAGCTACAGTCGGACTCTTTATCTGGGCAGTGCATGAGGTGATGATATGCAGTGGCCTTCGCCCACCCCGCCATCGTGCCTGGGTCGTGAACCCGAGGCCGCCTCTTGGGGTCTCTTGCGGCCTTTGGGATGCTTCCTGAGGGCCTCTGGGATGCGGCATTTCGTCGGGAAATGCCTTGAGGTGTCAGTTTGGGTTCCCTTCGTGGGGCCCCCTTGGGCCGTATGGGGGGGGCCTCGGCGGCAGTTTTGGGGCGATCTTAGGGGCCTCATTGGCCATCGTGGACGCTCTGAATGCCGAGGCACTGAGCCTGCCGCACAATCATACAGTGGGGGCCCATGCAAAGAAAACACCATGCTCGCCTCCAGGGTGCCCTGGGTGTCTTGGGTTTCGAGGGTTTCGAGGGTTTTGCTCTTGATAGCGTGACGTGCCCGCACTAAAATCCAATGGGCGTCCTTGGGTCTCAGGGTTGGGTTCCTTGTGGCAGGTTTCTTGTTGACTGGCCTCCACTGTACAGAACTGGGGGTTTTGGCGGTCTCGACTTCTGGGGCTAGCCCGCAGGGCCTCCAAGCTGGCCCCGGAGGCGCCCAAGAGGGTTCCACGGCAGGCCCTGGGGACAATGGAACGCCCTAAAGAAACGTGGTCGCTTGCACGGACATTGGCGAGTGGGCTGCCCGCCCGCGTAAGGTCGTCCGCAAGCGCCGCCGTTTCCACGCGGACCGCGTTGGCGGCTCTCGTAGGCCACCGCGCAAGGACGATGTGGCTTCTCGCGTAAGTATCGTCTCTGCTCGTCGCCCATCTGAACCGAATCGTATGGAACCTCTACAGTCGAGCCTGATTGGCAGGTCGGCCCTGCTAAACCAAGCGTGCCCTCGTGCCCTGTGTTTTGCGGCCCATGCCTTCTTCATTCTTATGGCAGTGTGGCCCGCGGAAGGGTCTTGTGTCCTTTCGCGTGCCCTCTCCAATAATATTAGATTTCTTCCTTCCGTTCTTCTTCAGCACCCGTCTCTCTCTCTCTCTCTCTCTGTCGCTCCGCCCCGTTTTCGTCACTCTTGCGCTGTTCTGCGTAGTGGCACTGTTCTTTTGTCCGCTTCCTTGCACCTGCACGGCTTAGCACTTCGCTTGACCTCATGACGCCGCGCGGGTGCCCGTTCGCGGTCGCGATCAAAAAAATCCTCTCCAATCGGCCTCGGCTGTATGTCACCCGTGGAGGTGCGAAGAGAATCGCGCTTCGCGATTCGCGGCCTGTGCCACAGCGGGTGCCCGTCTCCAGAAGGGGGCCGCCCGAGGGCGCGAGGGCGCGAATATACATCGTGCACCGCGTGTCGCGGGGCGCCGCGCGTGAAGGGAGGTGACCCCAGAAACTTGGCATCGTTCGGATGTGTGCATTCCCCCCCCCCTCCTCCCCCTCCCCCCTTCCTCCCCCCCTCCTCCTCCCCTCCATCCCCTCCTCCTCCTGCACGCGCACGCTGACTTGGAACTAGCTGATCGTACTAATTTGAATCACGCGGTACGGACGGCAAAGGCCGTCTTCAGATTCGCTGCGAAGATTTAAGATGGTTGGCCGACGACAACTTTCGACGGAGTCGCGAGATATGTGAATGCTGTTCGCTCTCCCAGGCCAGCTGCTCCACCACACGAGTGGACATGGGTTGGTCGCTTCTGGCAATGGCCTACTTGCTTGAGAGGTTCGCGCAGCAACCAGAAGCGGCCCCCTGGAGTTTGCACCCGCCGGCTCCGAATCGATCCCGCAAACTTGCGGGAGCTCGGTCACCGCTGCATCGTGGCAGGCTTTGATGTCCAGAGCTTTGCCTGTGTCTGTCAGAGCTGAGCCGCTTTCTCGACTGGAAGTCGGATGCGTAGGCTCGCAGAGCAGTGTCGCGATCGGCCGCCAGACGGCAGCGAAGTTTGGTCGAGGTTGGGCAGAGGGCTCCACCCTGGTCACAAGAGAAGGGGGGCCAAAGCCGACCGCGCAACAAATTGCCCCATTTAGTGGGGTCCTTGGCCGTGGATGTAGCACAAATCCTCCTCCTCTTCATCCTCCTCCTCCTCTCTCCCTCTTCCTCCTCCTCTTCCTCCTCCTCTCCCTTCTCCTCCTCCTCCTCCTCCTCCTCCTCCTCCTCCTCCTCCTCCTCCTCCTCCTCCTCTCTGCTACAGGGCGCTCTGCGGATGGCACAGGGGGAAAACATTCTCGGCGAGGATCATCGAGGAGCATCGTGGACCATACAGTGCAGACGCCGAAATACGGACCACTTTGGGGTCGGGAGGGGCTATGGTTTTCAGGCCGTACCTCTGGGCGAGATCGGGGAAGCTGTTCTTGGCCGAGTTCCGCCGCAACCAGGAGAACCCTTTCGCTCTGTGGTGGGCGTTCCTCCTGGTAGCACGACTAGGAGGCAACATGCGAGCCCTACCCCTCCCCCCACGATTTCTGAGGGGGAAATTGTCCCCCTCAGAAATTGGGGGGGCTAGGGGCAGGGTCCGCATGTGGCCCCCTACGATGGCCATCCTGCGAGGGCTTGGCTCGACGAAAGGGGCCTGCGCGCGCTCCGCTCTACATCTACGGCACAGTGGAAGGTACAGTGCCGTTTTTGATACGTGCTCCGCGTGCGGATCATGTATTAGACATGCAGGGATTTAGTATTAAAAACAACGATGAGTTCATGCATACATTTATTCGTAAACTGATCATGTACTTAAATTCCTATATTTTTTAATATCATATGTATTAAACCTGCCCTGTACAGTCGGCCCGGATTAGTAGGTCGACCCTGCCACATCAAGAGTGCCCTTGTGTCCTGTGCTTCGCGGCCCATGCCTTCTCGCGTTCCCATGGCAGTGTGGCCCCCGGAAGGGTCTCGTGTCCTCTCGCGTGCCCTCTCCAATCGAGTCCGACTGCATTGTTCGCCGGCGTGGCCGGGGGGGGCCGTGAGTGGGGGTTTCGAGGCGGCGAGCGAAGGGCGCTTCGAGGTTCGAGGTGCTCGGGCGTGCCCGTCGGTCCCCGGCGGTGTTCCTGCCCTGGCACGCGCTCCAGCGGCCGCGCCCCGCCGGGAGCGTTCCAGGGGGGGCCCCGACCGTTCCGGACGGCCGCCAGAGGTCCGAGTTATGACCCGAAAACTGCACGCTGGTCGTTGAAAGTAGGTATTTCTGGATTCCCAGATCCCGATCTACTTCAAGCGCCTTCCTACTTCGAGAATTGGCATGATTTTGCTGTGTTTTGTTATTCTCTGGGAGGACCTGGACCCAATCTACTTTATCCGCCTTCCTACTTCATGCTTCTACCTACTTCTTCCGACCGGCGTGTACACTGAGCGGCGCGCCGAGGGGTGAAGTGGGAAGGAGGAGGCCTTCTCAGAAGGCGGCGGGGCTTCTCAGATGCCCTCGCGCCCCCCGAGAAGCCGTCTGTCGCTTCGGAGAAGTAGGCTCGGAAGGCCTCGTAAGAAGGAATAGCGACACCAACACCAGGGAACGGAACCAGAAAAAAACATGACCACGGAATCGCGCCCCTAATTTGCCTGCTCACGCATCGGGAGGATCGTGGCAGCGTTGAGGAGTGCCTGTTTCCGATGGGCAGCGGAGCTTCAGCCTGGCGTCTGACAAGTCGAACGTGGGGGGCCTGTCGCTGCTGGCTGGGCCCTTCGTAGCGCCCCCTGGTGGGGGGCGTGGAGGACCGCCCACAGGGTCTATGGGACCCAATCGGCCTGCCCGGCGGGAGGGTCACTCGTGGTGTTGTTCTCCCCCTTCGCTCGGGACATCCTCACAATCGGGCTCGGGTCCCACGATGGGTAGGGCAGGGGAGTCGCCGATGGGATCCCGAGGGGTGGGGGGCTCCGTAGCCCCCAGGGTTTGGGGCAGCTTTGCGGTTTGTCTTTGTCACGCATGCCTCCCCTCTCGGGTCTATGAGCAACCACCTTCTTTGCGTCGCCTCCCCTCCCCCGATCCGTCCTCTGCCTATGCCTTCTGGCTTCGCCGCCTTCGGGCTTGTCCGTCTTTCCCACTCTTCGATCTTATATCGCCCAGGAAACTTTCACTGGTGGTGTCTGTGTCGGGTTTCTTCGAAGGCAGGGTACAAATCGGTCGGTTAGGCTGCGTCGCGGTCGACTGCGTTCGGTCGGTTCGGCTCGGTCGGCCGCTGCCCCGTTGTCGCGCCGATACTCCCTTCTAGGCCGCTTGCGACCTGTCTGCGTCGGTTTCGGTGTAGACTCGGTCGGTTTTCGGTTGTGTTGTCGCCGTGTACGGCCTTGGGGACTTCCTGCTTTCAGAGATGGGCGGTCATGGCCAAATCGGTCGTGAACACAAGGGTTCCGTCCCTAGGAGGCCTAGAGGTTGGCACCAGCACCGATGTGTTGACGTTTGCCTCCGCCGAGGGAAGATGATCCCGACCTCGGCGAAGGTGGTACTATTCGGGACGGGAGGCGGGGTCCGCAGCATCTTGGGTTGGGCGTTCTGGGCCGGCTTCGCTGCAGGCTCGGCCCTCTCGGGCGCGCGCAGCGCGGGGCTCCTGCCCGTCGCTCGGGGCGCCCCCAGCGGCCGCACCGAGAGCCTCTCGCGCCGTCGTGGGCGCCTCGTGCGGGGCGAGAGGGGGGGAGGAGAGCGGCTGAACGGGCCGCGGGTGTTCCCGGAGATCCGAGCGCTGCATTTTGTTTACAACGGCCGTCTTCGCCAGGTCTTCGGGCCCCGGGATGAACACAGACCTATCCGGCTCGAAGATTCGCATGGGGGAAACGGGTCCTGAGGGAAGTTGGTCCTGGGATCTGGGGCCTTCCTCAGGACGAGTTCTGCATCCTGAGTCGTTTTCTGACAGTCCTGGGGCCCGTGGAGGGCCCCGAGAGTCCGAAAACAGCGAAAAACCTCAGGACCCGTTTCCCTCAGGACCCGCTTCCCCCACGGCTCGAAGAATGACGCAGAAAGATGGGGTGCGGGGCCCTGGTCGTGGTCTTACGCGGTGTTGCATTTTTGTTCGCAGTGTCGGATCTCAGGGCTTGGAGCGAGCAGTGAGTCAGAATCGCAGTTTGATTGCCCTGCCCCTTCCTCGTCCGCGGTTCCGGCTCCGGAGGTGGCAGGAGGTGCCCAGCCCCGGCGGGGGAGGGAGGGAGGGAGAGGCGCTTGGTGTGGCAGGCTCCATCAGGAGGGCAGAAACACACACAGACACAATAAATCTACGGTTCCCCAGAAAATATAGGAAAATATGGGAAGTGGGGGGGAAGGCAGAAACCCAGAAAATATAAGAAAATACAGGGAATCCTGTAATTTGTGTCTTTATGTGTGTGTCCCAGGGCTCCTTCACTCTCGGCAAGCACTTCCAGCTGCGTCCGGCCGGCTCCCCGGGAGCTTCGCAGCGGGCAGACGGGGCCCGCGCCTCGGAGGCCGATTGTGGCGTCAGCATTCGGGGCAGCGGTCGGGGGGCGGGGGGAGGAGCGCAGCGGGGTGACGCCTCGGCCCCCCGTCGCCCACTGCGCGCCGCGTGGCCCCCTATCCCGATAGCCCCGCCCTGCCAGGGAGGTGCGGATTCGCAAAGGTGCGGATTCGCAATCGGCGACCTATCGCCGATCTATCGGCGACGTGTCGCCGATTCCAGGTCGATGTTTCCCCCCCTGCGCCATTTCCCCTTATCGTTGCCCCTCACAAGAGGAGGATGGCTTTCAAGAAGCCAGCAGGCTCCTCAGAAGACCCCCAACGACCGAGCCCTGACCCCCTCCACCTAATCTGACCCGCAACCCTGGCATCGCTCGAACGTGTGCATTTTTTCTCGGCGAGGACCCTGGAGAAGCATCCTGGACCATCGAGCAAACAAACAACACTGACGAAACCGAAACATGCACGGGAAATGGACGCTCGAGCGACGGCAAGCAACTCGGGCACCCAGAGGTCTTGACTCCCTCCCAGGGAACAAGTCTTTGCAGCCAGGGCACGTCCGTCTAACATCCTCGGAGCCCGAGGATGGCCCATGGAGGCAGAAAAAGGCAGCAGCGGTCAAGTCAGAGGTCAAGTTGTGATCTGCTGCGACGCGAATCCCCGCCCTCGCTCCCATATCCCCCAGGGGGCCTGATCCAGGTGTCATCGCCTGCTGACGCATACTCCTACTCCGATCCCTACTTCCCTCCCCATCGCCGTGAGCACGCCGGTCTCAGGGGTGGGGCCGAGCTCGAGCCCTGGCTGCGCCCAGGAGTCCCGAGTCTAAAGGATCAAAGCACAGCACTAAGAGAATCTCTCTCTCTCTCTCTATATATATATATACATATATATATATATAGATGTAAATATACATCTCTCTCTCTATATATATATATATATATAGATCTGTCAAAGCCAAGCTCCGCGCAGAGTGCTTGGATCGGCGCTGGCGCCCCCTGGCGGCGTCTGGCGCCGCCCCTGGCAGGCAGGAGGGCCCAGCGCCGATCCAGGAGATCCGCGCGGGGCTCCGACAGTCGTACCTCTATGTTAGGTTCCGTGGCGTGCCGCCGCACGGTGACGCCGCCGCGGGCGTTGAGAGCTGAACGCCTCCAGTGGCCCAGTATCCTTGGCATCGCTAGGGCGTGTGCATTTTTCCTTCGGCGAGGACCATCGAGGAGCACCCTTGATCATTTGGCGAAAAAACAACGCACGAAACCGACAAAAAACACAGGGAATGGACGTCCGAGAGATGCCCAGTATCGGCCAAGATGGAACGATCTGGCGATCGGAAACTTCGACCGTTCAAGGTTGAACGATCCACGCGGTGTCAGCGACCAACGACGGGGTGGTCACAACACGAAACTGCCGTATTCGAGTAGGGGATCGTCTACAGGATTCATTTATCTAGGAATTGATTTGTTTGTCGAGTCTGCAAACGCGTACGTGTTCTGGTTGTAGACGTCCTTACGAGCATCCTGCGCACTTTTTGCAGATCCAGCGCACACCTCAATCCCGGGGTGCATCAATTCTGTAGTCGACCTTCTTCTACTCGACGTACGCCGCTTCTGTTGTTTCCGGGCGCAGCCCGCGGCGCACGGGCGCGCGCCCCCGCCGCTCCCGCGGCGTCCGGCGCCAGGACGAGGAGGAGGACGACGAGATCACCAAGGCCGCGGCGAGGGAGGCCGCCGTGGTCCAGGAGCCTCCCCCACCGCTGCGCCGCCTCGCCGCCGCCGCAGGGTCCCGGGCGCTCCCATCCTCGCCACCTCGGTGCAGTCCTCCCTCTTGCCCTTCTCCTCCTCCTCTTTCCCGCCTCATCCTAGCGGATTTGATCTCGAGTGGTAAAGATGGCCGATCGTTTTCGTACCACGAGTTTTGATACCTATTCTAACCTGGCCCTCCCAGCTATCCCCATAGTCGTGGCACCGTAGAGGGTTCCGAAGGGGGGTACAGGTAGAGGCCGAGGCCGAGACACCAGGCAGGCGTCAGTCCCCTAGACCCTAGACGCCCCCCCCCCTCGTGCGTCTGCGCGGCGCCTCGGGGTTCGCCGTCTCCGGGGCAGTGCTGGTCCTGCCAGTGGGGTGGCCCCGTTCTTTCACGGCTTACCCGCCTCCCCATGAGACGGGTTTTGCAGAGTTATTGGCCAGTTTCGGCGTGAGTTGAGCAAATCATTTGAATTCCTCGCGCATTGCTCATTGCTTTGTCCTCCCTCCTCCTCCTCCTCCTCCTCCTCCTCATAGTGCCGCCGTTTATGCTCCAAGGCCGCGTGCGCGCGCCGCGAGGTGTCACATCTTCATGTACGGCAGTCTACTCTCACTACTACGTGGCTGCTGGCGAGCAGCTCGTGTCATACACTCGCCATTCTCGTTTAGCTGCGCGCATGGAGGATACTGCTTCGGAGGCCAGCAATTTCGAAATGACCGGGCTGCAGGGCACATGCAGCACGGCGTATACGAGTGAAACGTATCACGTCACACGTATCTGGGACACTGTAGCAGTTGTTGCAGGCTGGAAGCACAGCAAGTTCAGCAAGACGAGCGCAGGATGCACATTCATACTACCTCCACGGTGGCCACTGACATGTCTATGGAGAATCGACACGCCGCGCAGTCACCTGCAGGGCCGTGGAATTGGAGTGTGCTTCAGATTTTGAGGCATGTCTTTCTACGCAATGACGATGAATTGCCCACCGAAACCGTCTTGCAGGAAACCTACCCCAACGTATTTGGCATGTTGTGAAACAGCTTGCACGATGGGCTTCCCTAGCGATAGGTAGAGCCCCACATCCGACAATGGTGTTCATCATGGCAGATGTGAATAACGGCATGGGGCTACCGAAACAAGACGGACAATGGCGGAACGTTTGAAACAAAAGGCTGTGATCGGACACGGAACCACCCAGTAATGACACGTATGCGGAGCAGAACAGCGTCTACGATAATTCAGTGAGGAACTTGGGCTATTCTCAACTACTACGTTGTCGCATCGATGCGAATGGCAACTCCAGAATGAATGATCATGTGAGTTTACCTTTACTGGTTGCTGCAAGAGTGAAGTCTTTTGGTCCCGCCGAGGGAATTGGGAGCATGTTTCAGTATATGCCAGTCGTCGTGGGGCATCGTAATCATAGGCCTGTTCGTGGACGTATCGGGTTTATTGCGGACATCGAAGATCACGAACCCCAAAGATGGAAGTCGCCAGATGAAAATCAGTATGATGCAAGAAAGTGGGGTACATGTAAGTTGGTACACGCACTGAAAGGTTCACGAGCGCGACCTGATTTTTCGGTTGGAGTAGAAAGCAGCTGGCAGGATTGAGTTTGGAATCTAGAGTGAATGTGACACAGCCGAGGACTTGCCAACACCATTCGGCACGATGGTGAGAGATGGAGGGCGTAATCTAGTCGCACGATCGTCGCAGACGCACACGGGTAACGACAAGCAAGAGCGTCTTCGATTGCTTGCTCGCTGGCGTGAATTACGCGGGCACTTGCAGGAGTGCGACCCGTCGGAGATTGAGGAGTCCTGCGCTGCGCTGCAGACCATGACGAAATTGTGCGGGAAGCTGCCGACGTTGGAGCTGGTGAGGAAGAAGGGGGTTCTGGCAGAGGGGATGTCCGCGGACGTGGCAATTGAAATTTCTCCCATCTGCAACGCGCATTGCCCACTGGGAGTGAGTGGCCCGGGGCATGGTCCAAGCCTGGATGTTGGCGTCGAGACTTGAGCACGGGGGGTTGGTGAGGGATCGGGAACGATACAGGCGGCCTCCCCCGCCGCCGATGTACAGCCAGGGTCGTGCAACTAAATCATATAAAGCTGCCTTGGAGGACGTGGCCTCAAGTCAAACCTACCTGAAGCCAGCTTCTGAAAACAGGGGCGTTCCTAGGTGGTCCTTGCCCGTTGAGTTGTGGGGTCTTGGGGTCGGCGAGCTTCCCGAGGAGGTCCTTCGTCATTGTGCTGGGCTCGGTTCGAGACTCCCGACGGTCCTTGGAGAGCACATTCGAAGCTGGCTCGTGCACATTTTCCTTTTTCGACAAGCCGCTCTCCTGCCTAGCCTCTGGTCGTGCAGCAAAGGATGCGCTCTTCAGAAGTGTGATGTGCCTGGCCCTGCCGGGCGAAGGGCGGTGCGCGGACTGCATCAGCTTGGGAAAGCCTTCCAGTCTACGTGGTTGCGCCGACGAGACTAAACATACATTTTCCTGCCTGTGGTTGCATGTGTTGTTTCGCGCCGATGCGTACAACGCGCGCCCGCCAATGGTCCAAAACAGTATTGGTGGAGAGCTGTTTTTTTCATAGCGGCCACCTTGTGGTAGACTTGGCTGCGGCGCATCAGCTGCGAAGTGGGAAAGACAAAAGTTGCGATGCATTCCAAAGGGCATCTCGCAAGATTTGGGTTTTTTCGGTCGCGTGGACAATTCGTTGGGCGCCCTGTCATGCGAAACATACATGAGATTTGCACGTGTAGTGCAGGGAAAGACTCGGGGACCCTCCTGGCGTCAAGATGATTTGCCGCAGTGGCCGCAGACAAAAATGTTACGTGTCAAGTGGGCGTCTCGAGAGTTTCGGCCGTTTGGGCCACCGTAGAAGTTCATCAGCTGTAGTAGTACTTGCGTATGTTGTTTGAGATGTTCGTCGATCTTTGATGGTGGGATCATGAAGTCGATCGTACACGTAGTCGTGGTAGAAGTACTACTCGTCGTCGTCGTGCTAGTCGTAGTATTAATATTATGCATAGTAGTAGTAGTAGTAGTAGTAGTAGTAGTAGTAGTAGTAGTAGTAGTAGTAGTAGTGGTAGTAGTAGTAATCGTAGTAGTAGTAGTGGTAGTAGTAGCAGTAGTAGCCGTCGTAGTAGCATTCGTTGTAGTACTGGTAGTAGCGGTAGTAGTACTGGTAGCAGTACCAATACTTGTAGTCTTCATAGTAGTAGTAGTAGTAGTAGTAGTAGTAGTAGTAGTAGTAGTAGTAGTAGTAGTAGTAATAGTGGTCGTATCAATGGCCGTAGTACTGGTCGTAGTGGTAACACTTGTACTGGTAGTAGTATGGGTTCTAGTAGTATTAGTAGTAGTAGTAGCTACGTAGTAGTAGTAGTAGTAGTAGTAGTAAAAGTAGTAGTAGTAGTAGTAGTAGTAGTAGTAGTAGTAGTAGTACTCGTAGTCGTAGTAGTAGTAGTGGTAGTAGTAGTAGTAGTAGTAGTAGTAGTAGTAGTAGTAGTAGGAGTGGTATTTGCCGTAGTGGTAGTAGCAGTTTTAGTCGTAGTCGTGGTAGGAGAAGTGGTAGTAGTAGTAGTAGTAGCAGTAGTAGTAGTAGTAGTAGTAGTAGTAGTAGTAGTAGTAGTAGTAGTACTTGTCTTAGTAATGCAACCTGTCGTAGCAGATGTCGTCGTTGTCGTGGTAGTGGTCGTTGCAGCATTCGTTGTAGTTGTGGATCCTTAGTAATCAACGGAGTAGTAGTACTAGTAGTAGTAGTAGTAACAGTAGTCGTAGTAGTAGTAGTAGTAGTAGTAGTAGTAGCAGTAGTAGTAGTAGTAGTAGTTGTAGTAGTAGTAGGAGGAAGTATTAGTAGTAGTAGTGGTAGTAGTAGTAGTAGTAGTAGTAGTAGTATTCGTAGTAGTAGTAGCAGTAGTAGTAGTAGCAGTAGCAGTAGTAGTAGTAGTAGTAGTAGTAGTAGTAGTAGTAGTAGTAGTAGTAGTGGTAACAGTGTAATCGTAGTAGTCGTAGTAGTGGTAATACTAATTGTAGT